GCAGGCAGCGGGCAGGCGGCTCAGCAGGGGCAGGCAGTGCCCACTACAACCCCAGCATACTCGTCCTATCAGCCAGCTGCAACACAGGGCTACCAGGCAAGTGAAGGCGGCTGCTGCAGAGCAGCTGGTGGCCAGCTGGGGCAGGGCTGGGGTGTTCTGTGGAGCTGGTGGTTCTTGAGCCTTTAACCAGCGAGAGGAGGATCTGGTTGGTCTCAGCTCTAGAGCTGCTGTGCAGCTTTCCTTGTGAGTGTGGGCAGGGATTAGACCCAGCCCTAGGCTCCCTACTGTGCAGAGGAAAGTCATGCCCTACCTGCTTCCAGAGGAGAACCCTGCTGGTCCTAGAGCTCTTGTAATACAGGTTTGATGTGAGATCCAGCTGCTTGCACCACCTCTCACTGGCTGCATCTCCTCCACAGAATGCAGCATCACAGTCACAGAGCATCCCTGCCATCTCGCAGGCTCCTCAGTCAGGGGCTGTGGGCTACATGGGAAGCCAGTCGGTCTCCATGGGGTACCAGCCCTATGGCATGCAGGTGAGCACCTGGGGTGCTGGGGGAGGGAGGCTCCAGCCACTGGAGCTTTCCTGAGCCTATGCTGCTGGGGCAAGGAAGGGAGAGGAGGTGAGGAGGCAGCAGGCTTGCCCATGCATAGGGCTTGCTTTCTCCTCCACAGTGCTGAGTGCTGTTGAGTCTATAAAGGTAGTCTAACCCCCTTTCCCTTGCTCTGCTAGGGCCTCATGTCGGCGCTGCCGGGCCAAGAAGCAGCACTGAGCAGCCTGCCCGCACAGCAGTCTTATCTGCCTGGGCAGCAGCCCCTGTACCAGCAGGTGAGTGCCGCCTGCAGGGCGGGGGGGTTTAGGCACGGCCACTGCATAATGGCGCTGCCTCCTCTCTGCAGATGGCCCCGGCTGGAGGGCCCCCCCAGCAGCAGCAGCCCCAGCCCACGGCAGCACCCGTGCAGCAGGCACAGGGCAGCGGAGAGGCCCAGCTCATCTCGTTTGACTGAACACTGCGCAGGGGAGTGCGGAGAATTCAATGTAACACTACTCTTCATCCAGAATCACGTCTGTTCCTCACCTTGTCCTGTCTGCCCCTCAGCTCCTCCCTGCGTCCGTCCCTGACCGAGGGGCCAAGGGACCACCGGGTTCCAGCACTGGTGCTGGATCCCCGCTCGCAGGAGCGCAGCCCTTCGCCTCGGCTCCCCGTGCCTGCTTCTTTCCCCCTCCAAGCTGCCCCCTCTTTGCCCGCCCCTGCGCGCTGCAGCTCGGCCTGCAGGGCCCGGCCGGGGGCAGGAGGGAACCACGAGCACGTCCGTGCCCGCCCTGCTCTGCTCCCCTCACCCTTCCTTCCCTGCCCACCGCTTCCCGCGCTCGGTTCGCGCCGGAGGAGCCCGAGCCACAACGGTGTCAATAAAGTGTGCGGAACGAACCGGCGTGCTGTGCTGTGCTGGGCGACACCTACCGGAACCAGCGAGTGCCGGCGGACCCGACGGCTAGAGCGCCTCCCTCGCTCCACCACCGAGGCGAGGCTCTGCGGCCTAGAGCGGCGGGCGCGCGCCGCGGGGGCCGTCGGGATCGTCGAGCGCGGGGCAGAGCGGCGCCGTGTCCTCTGCGGCCGCCATGCTGCCCGCCGCCCGCCTGGCGCTGCCGCCGCGCCTGGCCCGCCGCCCGCCGCTCTCCTGGCGCTGGGGTGCGGCGCGGCCGCTGGGCACGGGCCGTGCTCGGAGGCGCTCGGAAGCGCTGGCCGGGGAGGCGCTGGCCGGGGCGCCGCTGGACACGGCCGCTAAGGAGTACTCGCCCAAGGTGCGGCAGCTGGTGCGGGACATCGCGGGGCTGACGCTGCTGGAGGTCGCCGACCTCAACGCGCTCCTCAAGGTGGGTCCGCGGGCTGCCCGGCCCCGTCCCGCTCCGCTCGGCCCCCGCTGACGCCGCCGCTCTTCCCACAGGAGACGCTGAAGATCCCGGATGTGGGGGTGATGCCCGCGGGCGCCGCCGCCGCCCACCTGCCCGCACAGGCGGCCCCGCAGGTACGGCGCCGGGATGGGGAGGCTGGGAGCCCTCATCTCGGCTTCGCCTTCACCTCAATGCGGCTGTTTGCAGGAGGAGGAGGAGGCCGTCCCCGTGAAGAAGGAGAAGACGCACTTCTCCGTGCGGCTGACGGAGCTGAAGGCCACCGACAAGGTGAAGCTCATCAAGGAGGTGAAGAACTTCGTGCCCGGCATAAACCTCGTGCAGGTGAGGACGGGGCTGCCCCGGCCCAAAGCGGTCTCTGCTCTGAGGGCCGCCCGGGTTTCCCCTCTGTGGGGCTCAGTGTGCCCAGGGCTGTGTGCCTCTCCGAGCAGAGGTGAGACCAGGATGCAGAACAGGACTCACTGTGCCTAATAGGCATCCCTCATGGAAGTCCAGTCCCTCTCATCTCTGGTGCTGAGTCCATAGCAAAAGGGGGGAGGGGGAGGCTAAGAGCAGAGAGCTCACAGCCCTCTGTGTCCAATGCAAGAGATGCTATGAGGCTTTCCAAAGAACTTGGGGGGCAGCCAGGACTCCTCGCTGCAGCTGGGTTTGGTCAAGCTTACCACAGCTTGTCATCCAACACACTTCCATTCTGTATTGTGATGCTTTCATGTCTTGAGGATAATAATAACAGCACTTTCTATTTACCTAACTGCGAGGAAGCAATGCTAAGCAGTGTAAAATCTGCTTCAATATGTCACCCAGTTATTCTGAGATGGATTTGCAGAGCTTCCTCCAAACCATTTGTAACGACATATTGTAAAACAAATAATAACAGAGACGTTCTGCTCTCAGTGATGTCAGTTCCATTGGCCCACTGGGAAATAACTGTCTGCCAGCTGGGTCAGCCTGAACATTATGTCCCAGCAATGATTAAGATGCCAGAACCCTCTAACAGATATGATCAGTGGACAACTAAAAACAGTCTGGAGAACCAATGCTAAGTCAGCATGGCATGTGGAACCTGTAGAACAAGCTGGTTACACTTGCGATGCAGCCACAAGTTACTTCGATTAAAAAAAAAATACAGCTGAAGGCTGGTTTTGCTTGTAGAGGTTGTGTTTAATGTGTAGCTGAAAAAACATTATTGTAAGTGAGGAGCTGTCATAGAATCATAGAATGGCCTGGGTTGAATAGGACCTCAATGATCATCCAGTTTCAATCCCCTGCTATGTGCAGGGTCGCCAGCCACTAAGACCAGGCTGCCCAGAGCAACATCCAGCCTGGCCTTGGATGATGTGGGGCATCCACAACCTTCTTGGGCAACCTGTTCCAGTGCATCACCACCTTCTGTGTGAAAAACTTCCTCCTAATATCTAACCTAAACCTCCCCTGTCTCAGTTTAAAACCATTCCTCCTTGTCCTATCACTGTTCACCCTTGTAAAAGTCGTATCTCCTCTTGCTTATACGCCTCATTTGGATGAGGTGCTTTTAAACAAAATTTAAGGTGGCCTTAAATGAAATTTTCTTAATGGTTTGGAAGAAAGTACTTCTGGAAACAGCACAGGGGCTGTTGATGTGTGTGCAGCCAGGGCTGTGCTGTTTTTCCATCCAGGAGATGTGAACAGCTGCTGCCCTGGTCTGAGGCTGCTTTAGAACAGAAGTTCAGTGTTAGGGAGCAAGGATGAAAAACCTCAATTGTGCTGCGTGTCCTCACTGCAGCAAACCAGAGCAGGCTGTCCCTTCCAGATGCAGCCATGGGCTCTTGAGAGTGCAGGCACAGCTTCATCTGCACAGCAGCACCGTGTCCCTTCCATCTTCTGCCACTGCTGGTACATCATCACTGTGCCTGGCATGCACTGAGCTGACACAACCACTTTGTTTGTTCTGCACAGCACATGAGCTGGTGGCAGCTCCTCACTTTGGAACCCCCCAGGTTTGTTGTTGCTGTGTGGTTTGGGAGCAGCAGTGCTCTGACTGCAGCAAGCCTGTACCCTCCTATCCCTTTCCCTGGGCTCACTGCAGTTAAACAAGCCATGATACTGTAGAAAATCTTAAACCAGTTACAAAACTTTTCAAGTGCCTTAATTGTTGCTATATTCCGCAACATTAGAGGTTTGTATATAAAATATCAAACTGTGCTGTCAGGCAGAGTCTGTGCTGGAACGCTTTTGTCCCAGTACATCAGACTCTGACTTCTCTTGCACATCTGTGTACAGAACTCAGGCAGCCCCTCCACCCACTGGCACAAATATGTAAACCAAAACATTCATGCTGAAGAAATGGCCCAGCCGGGTCAGTGGCTGCGTTAGCAGATGGTTGTGTGTGTCCTGGGCACCTTCCAGGACTGAATACTGGAGAACACAGCACATGTCATATACACACCATGCAGGAACTGTGGGCTGCTGCCATTGGGAGGGGTCTGGATGTGTTGCCCTGTACCATCAGGGTGAGGAGCAAGTAGGTGTCTCCAAGTAGAAGCCTCGGGTTTAGAGCATTAGGTGAGTTTCTCTGATCTGTTCACGCAGAGGTCGGACTCATGGCTTTAAATCTGTTAATCTGGTTAGTGAAAGCTGGTTTACAGATCTCATGCTTTATACCTCCCACAGGCAAAGAAGCTGGTGGAGTCCCTTCCACAGGAGATCAAGGCTAACGTGTCCAAGGAGGAAGCAGAGAAGATCAAAACAGCGCTGGAGGCAGCAGGAGGGACTGTGGTTCTGGAGTAGGCAGCTCCGTGTCACCCAGAGGGACTCGTGGAGCAGCACCTGCCTGTGGTGCTCACACTGACCGAGCCAGGCCCTGGGCACCTCGGGTGTGAGATGTCCTCGTGCCGCGTGGTGGGAATGCGTTGTCCACATGGTTCAGTGCAGCAGCAGTGTGCGGTTTGGTGGGGCTGCTGTTTAGTTCCGGCATCACAATGAACTCTACATTCATAAAAGCCAAGTGGGAAAAGCTCTGTAGAATCGTCATCTGTCAAAGCTCAGTCCGCTTCCCCCGGGCGCTGCACACGCTCACGCGGTCCCGGCGCTGGGGCAGAGGTGCTGCTCCATCACCACCACCACGCAGCGCTGCGGCTTTGCTGCACGGTGACGGCGCGGCGCTGGAGCCGGCCCCGCTGCTTCCTCTTCCTCGCTCTCCTTCCTCCTCTCCCGTCCCTTTTGCCCGCGCCTCCCATCCCAGTGTCGCGCGTGGATGGCTTCCACCTTCCCGCCCCGCTGCAGGGACGCGGGCCGGGCCGTGGTTACTCATTGCCGTGGGGCCGGGCGGAGCTCCTCGCTCGGAGCCCGGCGCGGCGGCCCCCGGTGGATCGGCGCGGGGCGGAGCGCGGGGCGGGGCGGCGCGGGTCGGCGGCGCAGAACGGCGCCGATGGCGGAGCAGCGCGTGTCGCGGTGGTACTTCGGCGGGATCGCGTCGTGCGGCGCCGCGTGCTGCACCCACCCGCTCGACCTGCTCAAGGTGCGGGCGCGGAGCCGGGGAGGCGGAGCGGCGGCCGGGGGCGGCCGCGGGGTTCGGGGCGCGGCGGACGGGAGCGACCGCCGCGAGGAGCCGCGATCCGGGGGCCGCGGGAGGGCCGAGGGGCCGCCCCGGTCGGGCCGTGCCCGAGTGGCGGCGGCGGTGCCCTCGGTGCTGGCCGCGGGCCCACTGGGCTGCGCGTCCCCGGCCAAGATGTCAGCCGGGCGCTGTGCTCCTGGCATCCCCGCCGCCGCTCAAAGGGGCCGCGCGCGGCGGCGGCTGCCAGCCCTGACCCGGCCCGCGGCGGCGGCCAGGTGGCGGCGAGCCCGGCGGGGCTGCCCGGAGCCGCGCACCCGCGTGGGACTCGGGGCTCCGTCCGCGCGGGGCTCCCGGGAAGGGCGGCGGGTCGGGAGCCGGCCGGGCGCCCTCCGTTCGCCGCCGCCGAGCCGGCGGCGCTGGGGGGAGGGTCGGCCTTTGCCCCGCGTTGTGTGAGCGAGCCGCGAGCGGCGCGGGACGGGGCTGATCGCGGAGCTTGCCTTTGGACCACAGCTACGGCGGAGAGGCCCCGGGCCGGGCAGGGGGCCAAGGGCGCTCCTCTGTGCTTGCGGACTTTGGACCCCGGGGGAGCCCACCCGGCCCGGCCGCAGGTGCACGGCCCCCGCCTGCCCTGCACGGCCCCGGCTGCTATGGCACGCAGTGAGCTCCGGCTCCCAAGGCCGAGCCCTTCCTGCACAGCAGGAGCTGGATTGTACTCTCCCACCATCCCGCTGTGCGTCCCACGCTGCGATGTCCCCTGGGCTCTGACCCGCGGCACAGAGCTGCTCAGGACGCACAACGGCAGAGGATGACGCAGCTCCTACATGAAGGCCCCTTTGCAGCAGCCCCGGGCAGTCCTGCTCGCTCCTGGTGCTGATGCTGGAACTGCTGAGTTGCTCCAGTGGGGCTGCAGTGCACAGGAGCAGTGCTGCAGTGCTCTCTGCCTGTGCTCCTCCTGCAGTTCCTGGAGGCTCTGTGCCACGTGCACCCAGGGTGGCAGAAGGTCATGAAAGCAGCAGTACTGCCTGGTTCCTTCCGACCAGAGCTGTGCTGGCTGCTCACTTGCTCACGTGTTTCTGGGTCATCCCACCGGTGATGCACTCCAGGGCTTTCCTTGGTCGATTGCACACCATGGCATTGCCCAGTGCAGTGCTCCTGCAGCCACTCGAGTTGGCAGCCACATGGGAGGGGCAGTGCTCAGCGCTCCACCTCCTGCATCTCCACCCATGTGCTCCTGGGCCGAGCCAGGAAAGGTTCCAAGCGCTCCTTGGATACGGGCTGGGGGCAGCCCAGAGCTGCAGCAGCTCACAGTGTGCTGAGAAGCTCCAGGAGCTGCCCGCTGTGGGGCAGTGCCCTGACACCTCCAGGTTTTGCCCCAGGTCCACCTGCAGACGCAGCAGGAGGTGAAGATGCGGATGATGGGGATGGCGCTGCGCGTGGTCCGCACCGACGGCGTCCTGGCGCTGTACAACGGGCTGAGCGCATCGCTGTGCCGCCAGGTGGGTGCTGCCAGGTGGGTGCTGCCAGGTTGGTGCCCACACTGCAGGGCTGGGCAGCAGGGCCCAGCAGGACGCCCTCCCTCTCCTCCAGATGACGTACTCCCTGACCCGCTTCGCCATCTATGAGACTGCGAGAGACCACTTGGGCCGTGGCAGCCAGGGGCCTCCCCCCTTCTATCAGAAAGTGCTGCTGGGAGCGGTGGGAGGTGAGCAGGGTGGTGGGATCCCTCTGGTTCCCTGAGGCTGGAGGAACCCTGAGCACAGCTGTGCTTTGGCTGCAGGCTTCACTGGTGGCTTTGTGGGGACCCCAGCGGACATGGTGAACGTCAGGTTGGTTCTGCCTGTGCTGCTGTGCTCTTCTCCCTCTTCCTGATGCCTCTCCTGCCCTGCCCCCCTGCAATCACAGCAGGTCCTGGTGGGGATATCCAGGTCTGGAAGGACAAAAGTTGTTCCAGTGGAACGGCCCCAAGCGGGGCCCTGGAGGGTTGGTTTTTGTCCTTTGGGAAGGAGCTGCAGCCCTGAGCAGAGCCCAGCTCAGAGCTGCAGAGGGGCAGGGGTCTTCCCCCACCACAGCCACCCATAAAGGACGTGACACCCCCCTGCTCTGCCTTGCAGGATGCAGAACGATGTCAAGCAGCCGGCCCACCTGCGGCGCAAGTGAGTGGGGAGTGGGTGCTGCAGGGCTGGGGGAAGACAGTGCTCTGGGGGGCAGCAGATGGGGGAATCTCAGCCCCTGACATCTCCCCCTCTTGCTCCTTGCAGCTATTCCCATGCCCTGGATGGCATGTACCGCGTCCTGCGGGAAGGTGAGGCTGTGTTGGCAGCGGGGGGAAACAGCAGTGGAGAGGGGAGGGGATGGGACAGCCATGGGTTTGCAGGGCTGAGGGCATCACTGCAGCACCTGGCTGTGGCACAGGGCATGGCAGCACACTCACACTGCAGTGAGAGGCACTGTCTGGGAGCTGCTGGGAAAAACGAGCTGAAGCAGGCTGGGGGAATGAGCAGCAGTGGGAGGGGATGGAGCTGACCTGAAGGGACTCCATTCCTGTGGGCCTGGCATATGCACTGCTGTCACATACAGTGCTTGACATGAAATGCTGGAGAGGGGTGGGGAAGGAGGCTCCTGGGGGGGAAGGAGTACCAGCAGTGCCCCAGGACTGTGCTCGTCCCGTCCGCAGAGGGTTTGAGGAAGCTGTTCTCGGGAGCAACGATGGCATCCAGCCGAGGGGCCCTGGTCACCGTGGGGCAGGTAGGATGGTGGAGCCAGGGGTTGGGGCAGTGCATGGCACAACAGGGAGGGATGTGCACTAATAGCTTATCCCTGCAGCTTTCCTGTTATGACCAAGCCAAGCAGCTTGTCCTCACCACCGGGCTGCTGTCGGACAACATCTTCACGCACTTCCTGGCCAGTTTCATCGCTGTGAGCAGGGCGGGGGGCAGCGCTGGGGATGGGGCTGTCTGTAGCTGGGCTCAGGGCTCAGGGTGGTGTTCCAGGGCTCAGATGGAGCACAGAGGCTCCTGTGCCTCTCCCTGCACTGGGTCATACCCCGGAGCCATCATCCTGCATGGCAGAGCCATGATCCCGGTGCCTCCTGCAGGGTGGATGTGCCACATTCCTGTGCCAGCCCCTGGATGTGCTGAAGACGCGCCTCATGAACTCCCAGGGCGAGTATCGGGTGAGTGACCCCCCCCTGCAGCTCCCAGCCCCTTCCTGCAGTGCCTCATCAGCTCTCCCTCTCTTGCCCCAGGGTGTCGTGCACTGTGCCATGGAGACTGCCAAGCTCGGCCCGCTCGCCTTCTACAAGGTGTGTGAGTGCAAGGGGAGGTCGGGCAGGAATGGAGGTCAGTGTCCATAGCAGTGTTGGGATGGAGCTCTCAGGGCTGTGCAGCCATGGTCCTGTGCCAGGTGCTGGAGCATGAGGTTCCTTCCAGATGCAGCCAGTCTGGTGTTTCCCCATCACAGCTGTTCTGCACGGCCATCCCCACCTTCCAGCACACTGCTTCCCCTGGTCGAGCTGCAGGCAATTTTGGTCCAAGTGGAAGCACGCACTGACTGCCTTCTCACTGTCCCATTGCAGGGCTTCGTTCCCGCTGCCATTCGCCTCATTCCTCACACCGTCCTTACCTTTGTCTTCCTGGAACAGCTGCGAAAATACTTTGGGATCAAAGTGGTCACCTGAGTAGGAGGGCCGGACCCTGCTCCCTGGGACCGCAGAATCCCCCCACCGCCCTGGGCCGGGGCTGTCCCCTCCCCACATCCCTGCACCCGGGGCCGGCCGGTCCCAGCCCCCATCCCACATCCTCCTCCATTTTCAGCACCTCTGTTACCTCTGGGACGTCCCTGGGCCTCGTCCCCTCTGCACTGCACCTTCCCCTACCGTGGCTCTGCCCTCCCTTGCCGGGGTGGCTTCAGTCCGGTCCCGGTGCACAGCGTCGTGCCTCTGCCTGGGCTCAGCTCGCAGCGGGAGGGGCTGGCGGGGGCTGTTTTGCTGAGCCCAGGCTGCAGCCGGGACCTGTGCAGAGCAGCGCTGCGTGCAGGGGGCTCCCAGCTCCCACCTCTCCTGCGGCAGCAAAGGTGGACATGGAGCAAGGGTGGAGGTGGGCTTGGCGCACGTAAGCATTGCCCGCTGAGTGCCTCTGTCTTCCTCTACTCCTCCGCTGTCCCCGTGCAGCCAAAACGGGTCCGTCCGTCCCCCCCCCCGTCTCCCGCTCAGCCAAAACTCCCCAGCGCCCGCCGGCCGCTGGGCTCTTCAGGGATTGTGCCTTATACCAATGATAAAGAAAGGACCTGGGGGGGGGGCGTGGGGCGGCCGCGCTGCCTTGCTGTGCTCCTGTCGCTGCCTACATCACCGTCCCCGATCCCTGCAGTGTCCGTCCTGCCCTGCTGCTCCACGCACTGAGGTGCCCAACACCCCCCCCCGCCTTGCAGCCCCCCCCCGCCCTACTCTGCCTGCACGGGGGCTGCGGGCATCGCCCTCTGCACGCGCAGCGCTGTGCAGAGTGGCCCCGAGGGATCAAAGAACTGGAATAGCTGTGACCGTAATGTATAATAAATAAACAGCGGAACAACCGCGGCTCCTGATCGCGTGGGGAGGGGAGAGCGGGGGGTGCGGTGCTCCCTCCCCCCCAGAGCTGCACTCCCGTAGGAGCGGAGGTGATGGGGGGGTTCCGGGCTCACCCCCTCGGCACCGCACGGAACGGGGCCGTCCCTGCCCCGAGGTCACCTCCCAGCGCCGGGCGGGGGAGCCGCGGCCGGGCCGTGCTCGGGGCAGCGCGGGGTTCCGGGCAGAGCCGTGCCAAGGGTCCGTGTCTGCTGGCTGCAGCTCCGTCCTGGACGTGACGCTAATTGGGCCGCGGCGGGCGGAACGGAGCCAGCCTGGGACAGCAGAGAAGTGAAAGCTCGTCACCTTAACGAAGCCTAATGATGCCGGCTGGCATCGCCGCTTTGTTCCGGTGCCCGGCGCCGTGCGGGAGCCGCGGGGCAGGTGCGGGGCGATGTGGTGCTTCTCCCCGGGGCCGGCGCCGAGCGGCAGTGGGGATCCACCGCCCCGAGGATCGGAGCAGCGCTCCCTTCCGCCGGCCCCGCGTTCCCGTGCCCCGACCGCGTCCCTCGGAGCGCGGCAGCCCTCTGCCAGCGGGGGTTGCGTTCCCCTCAGCCCGGCTCCTCCGCCCCCGTTTCCCGCAGCCCCCCGAGCGGCCCCAGGTGAACGCGCTGTGCTCCGCTCCGGAGGCTCGGCCCGACCCGGGCTCGGGGGATGCCGCGGCCGCTCCGGGCCGTGTTTACCTGGCCGCGCTCTGCCAGGACAGCGTATGGCAAACACAGACCCGACACCGCCAGCGGAGGCCGGAACGAGAGGGTCCGCGCAGCTCTCGGCCTCCCCGCGGGGATCCGTCCGGGCGCGGGGTCAGCCCCGTTACCACGGTCAGGAGCCACCAGCTCCGGGCACCGGCAGGGACCTCTCACCTCCCGACGCCGGGACTGGGACGGGACCACCGCGCAGACGGAGCCGGGGCGCAGCGAGGGGGGCGAGAGGATCCGCAGCGCCGGGAGCGGAGAGCAGCCCCGGCGTCGGGGTTGAACCGACAAAGACGCGCTCGGTCGCATCCTTCCGCATCCCTCCCGCACGGGGCCGGTGCTCTTCCGCCTGTCCTCGCCGCTGCGCCGGGCGGCACCGGGCTGCTCAGCACCGGGACGGAACGGAGCGGAGGAGGCAGAATCGGGACCGCAGGCGGTGACACGCGCGGTCGCTCGCAGCTCCCGGGAGTTTTCGCCTGTGCCGGTCGAAACACCGGGAGGGGGCACCGGGCCGCGCCCTCTCCACCCCCCCGTGCCAGCGGGAGGAGCGGGGCGGCGAGAAGCGGCTTCTCTCCCACGATCCCTCCCCCCGCGACGGTCCCTCCCCCCCGAGTCGCCACCGCCGCCGCCGCTGCGGCTCCGGCAAAAGTTTTCGCCGGAGCGGCCGAGCGCGCCGGTCCCGGTCCCGGTCTCCGCCAGCACCGAGATGCGCCCGGGAGCCGCCGCCAGTCCAACCCCGACAGGTACGGACAGCGGGGAGGGAGGGAGGGAGAGAGGGGAGCGCCCGCACAGCACCGGCGGACACCGCACCGTGAGCTCGGGGAGCGGCAGTGCGACTCCGGGGAACAGCCCGAGCCCCGACGGGGCTGAGCCCGAGGCGGAGGGCCCTGGTCCCGGCTCCGGTCTCGCTCTCCGTCCGGCTCGGTGCCCCCGGGAAGGGTTCTGCCGTCGGGTATCTCGGTGCTCGCTGCTGCCGTGGCCGCTGTGTAACCACACCGGGTGATTGGCACCGATCGGGTTCGGGCTCCCGGGAGCATCTCCCTAATCTCCCTTAGGTGCTTCTGCCTGGGTGGTGCCCACCGGGCTCCGACTGCGGGCACAGCGGTGATTTCGTGCTGGGCAGAAGCAGGGGATACTTTCCCACCTTCGTGCTGCTCCCCAGGCTCCCTGGTGCCGCAGAGGCCCACGGCGAGTGCCCTTTGTGACTCTGTCCCGAGCTCTGCTGTGTCAACACGGTGTTGGTAAATGGCTTTGTTTAACGAGGACATGTTGGGTATGTGACCTTGCCGGCCTGGCGGCTGCATGCGCATCCCCAAAGCAACAGCAGAGCTCACCTCTGCCCGGCACAGCGCTTCCCAGCCCGGCTGCTCCCTCGAGGTGGCGCGGGGAGAGCAGGGCACGCCACTGCCAAGCCAGCTCTGCATGCAGAGAGCAGAAGACAAGCAGTGGCTGCTGCCCACCCCGTGTCCTCCCCACACCTCGCTGTGTCCTGTGCCGTGCCCACCATGCGCACTGTGGGTGTCCTGACCCGTGCCAAGTTCAGCCTTTACCCCCGTGATATTCTCAGCTTTATCTGTGCATCCACAGGAAAATTCTGAGCCCGCAGTCCCCCTCCTCACCACGTTAGTGCCGCCCCAGCTGCGAGCTCCCATCCTTCCCACCAATCCCCGCTCCTTTCCATGTACTGTGATGCAGATTTTTTTTTTTTTTCATGTTCTGTTGCCTGGAGAGGGAAAGAGAAAAAGACAGAGCGGAGAAGAGGCAAAATATGGATTAAAAATAGTTAATGAAAAAATGTGACCGCAAGCTCTGAGCAGCAGCGCAGTGTTGAGACCAGCTGTGGAGCACAGCTCAGCTCCACACAGCTCAGCACCCGTGCACCTCGCTGTGCCAGGCAGGGGCAGGGGCTGGGGGGGCAGAAACAGGGGAGGCACGGAGCCCCTGTGTTCTTCCTTTGCATTCTGCCCACCCGTCTGCATGCAAAGCCCCCATGCCCTACAGGGCTGTGTTGGGCTCTGCCCAGCAGCTGGATGGGAGCGCTGCCCGCAGCCCCACAGAACCACTTTGAGATGAGGACACCCTCCTGGGATGGGGCAGCTGTGTGCAGGGTCACTGCGTGTTTGCAGCCCTGCTGCAGCTTGCTCCTCTCTGATGTACCCTGAAGCTGTCCTCAGTGCTCATCATTGGTGTGAGTCAGGCCAGATAGGAGTGTGCTGAGCCCCCAGAGCGGGTGCACGTGCACACACGCCTGTCTGCACTGACCTTTTCCTGAGCTTTTCCCACTCCTCTGCTTCCCCTGTGACATGCTGCCCACACGTGTCGCCCGCTGTGTCTCTTGTACTGTCCTCCTGTTTCACGTCCCAGTTCATGCAGTGTGATGAACTAGACAAACCCATCTCTCCAGACAGAGCCACACTGCTGTGGGTGCAGCACCCCTCTGTGCCCCACACTGCCTCTGTCTGATCCCTGCACTCCCCCCTTCACACGGGGCAGCTGCAAGAGATGCCATCCCCTTCCCCTTCAGCAGTCCTGGAGGTGATGCAAACAGCCTTGTCCCGATGGCTGATTGCTGCTTGTTTACATCCTTTGTTGCTGTTGACGAAAATGCTGTCAGGGCTGGTTTGGGTTTTCTTGGTCCAAAGTGACACAGAACTCAGTGCTGTTGGTGCTGCGTGACGTCGGCTTTCCGTGTGCTGCTGCTCGATGTTTCCACCATCATGCAGCTCTGTGCAAATGAGCTGTGGTCGTTCAGTGTGAGGGGTGCCCCAGGCAGCTCAGCTGTTCCTCTGCAGCCCAAGTTCCTCACGCTCGCTTTGCAGAGGACAGATGGGGGTTGGAGCCATGGGAGTTGCAAGTGGGGAACAGGAGGCGTCCTGGAGCTCAGGAACAGTGCAGACGGAGGCAGCATGGGGTGCAGGCGACCTCTCCAGCGTAGGCATCTCTGGGCGCTGCTTGTCCCATTCACTGCCATGCTGGGAGGAGAGAGGAGCAGTGTCTGCTGGGCCCGGTTAGTGCTGGCATTGCATCAGCCCTGGCCCTCCACCGTCCCCTCCCTTGCCAAGTGCCAAAGCCCCCGCTGTGCTGCCTTGTAGCTCAAAGCGCAAAGCCAAGCCAGCCGTGGAAAGTGCTGCATTAGTGCACCAGGGTCTAATCCCAGGGTCAGGAGGATGGCAGCCCCCACCACCACCTCCGGAGCTCTCAGCTGTGTGTTCCCAGTCCAGCCCTGGGGATCAGGGGGATGAGAACTGCACAGAGGGACCGGGCTCTGCAGGCAGCACCAGGCTCTGTGCAGGGCTCTGCTGTACCAGGCTGCTCACGGGTCACGTTGCAGATGCCCATGAGTGTCCCCATGGAGGCTTCCCCAAGCCACTGATCCATGTAGCAATGAGCTGCAACAATCCCAGATGTGGAGCTCATTCCCTTCCCATGTGAAGGCAGCCCCAGCTGGGGGGTGAACGGGACGGTGCCAGGCCAAGGCAGGGGCTGTGTGCCCACAGGGACAACATCCCGCCACGTGTGCGGGGATAAACGTGTGCTCATCCATCCCCAGAGCCTTGCTGCAATGCCGCGTGCTGGGGCTGCGGGGCAGGGATGAGGCAGGGCTGGGCAGGGCACACTGTGGCCTCCCAGGGGCTGGTCACACCCAGTCCCTAGCTGGGTTCTGTCCCCTTTCCCAGCACTGTGTTTCCTTTTCCTCCTCTCCTGCCTGTGGGCACAAGGTCTCTGCTTTGCTGCTGCGGGCAGTGCGGTGTTTGCAGCCCGTCCTCCCCCAGGGTCAGCAGCCTCAGAGACATGACACAGGGACATGCTGCATTACCCAACACCAGCATGGGGCAAAAGTCCCCTGTGCTTCCTGCAGTCCCAACAGATGCACCCACCCATATGGTGGGGGCTTGGTGCCTGTGGCTCAGAGCGAGGGGGAATGTAGTGCCTGGAGCCACCCAGCAAAATGGAGACTGTGACATAGTCTGGGTCCATCCTACAGTGTCACCTCCACTGACAATGGATGGGGACAGGGGCATTTTGTTCCTGGTGGCCACAGCACACCCAGCAGGAGCACCACAAGTAGTGGTGCTGGCACTCCCAGCTCCTGGGACGTTCTCAGTGCTGCTGACAGCCTGAGACCCACTGTACCAGCCCCAGAGAGCCAGACCGAGCAGCACTTGGCTCCTCCATACCCTCACTTACCAGGAACAGCTGCATCTCCCAGAGTGTGGCTGCTGGGGAGGGGGGCCGCAAAGCTCCACGGGCAGCTGGGACAAAGGGCTGGGCAGGGCTCTGCTGCAGGGCCAGGGTGCATTGATGTGCAGAAGATTGATGTGCAGGAGCGTGACTGCCCCACGCGCCAGGACCCCTCACCCAGTGCAGTCTGCCCAGTTTGGCCACAGCATGGCCCCAGGGCGTGGGGAGCACTGCCAGCCGGGAGGGGAGTCTAGGGCAGAGGGCTGCCCATGCTAAATCCCACTGCAGCAACTAAAAATAGTGCTGCCTCTGCCCCAGAGCTGCCTGCCCAGCTTGAGAGGGGCTGCCAGCACATCCACTGCCATGCCCCGGAGAAGTGCTTCCCCCCGGTGCAGGGATGCTCAGGGCAGGGCTGGGCACTTGGAGGTTCCTGTGGAGCACGGCTAACAGCAGGAGGGGGCTGGTGAGGTGGAAGGATGGGGATGCTGCTGTGGGCAGGTGACTGGACAGTGCTCATCAGTGAAGGTCCCAGAGCCCACCCAGTGAGTTCTGTCTGTCCTCGGAGCCGTGTCCTGTTCTGGGACTGCCTAAATAAGGCGCATGCTGTCAGGTCTCGCTCCCCGAGTCACATCTGCAGCGCCATGGGCTGATTAATGAGCTTCTCAGGCAGCTGCTTGCAACATGGTGAGTGGGTCTGCATGGAGGAAACACGACTTTCCCAGGGATAAAAATAGGCAGAGCAGAGCGGCGAGCCCTGGGAGCGATGGCTGGAGGGGAGCCATGGAGAGGCCGGGGCTCAGCAGTGCTGCAGCATCAGCTCCCACACTGCCCCCTTGTCAGAAGAGCTGAAATCCCGTTCAGAAGCCCCATAACCGGCTTAAGGGGGATGGAGGGAGTTATGGCTCCTCGTGAGCCAGGCTTTGTGCATGAGCTCCTGGATGCCGTGTCGGATGAGGCTCCCCATTGCTGGGAGCAATGGAGCTGGCAGCAGAGCCAACATGGGGCCACACAGCCCCATGAGCTGGGGATCCCTGTGGTTATCCCCACAGCCACCTCCGTTCCCACTGCGTGCCAGGGCTGGGAGACCCATGGGGCAAGGGATGTGGTGCACTGATGTGCCAGCACCATGGATGTCCTGACTGCCTCACAGAGTTCTGGGCTGTCGGAGATCAGCACTGATGCACATCAGGCACCAGCACTGATTGGGAGGGGAGGGCTTAGCTCAGGTCTGTGAGCAGAGGGTGGGTCAGGGGGCCCTAGGAGCCTGAGAGCTCTCCCATTGTGAGGGGTCCACCCCATGCAAGCAAGTCACGTCCGAGTGTGGCTGTGCTCCAACTGCTCAAGGCTGATGAAAGAAGCAAGGGTGGCTGGGTTTGCTCTGGGAAGGCAGAAAGATGACTGGGGGCTGTGACAATGCTGTCCTGGGGAGGAAATGGCAGATACTAAAGAGCTGCAGGCTAATGAGAAAGAACACAAAGAAACAGTTGAAAGTTAAAGGCAGGTGGAGAACGGGGATGTGAGCATGGCAGTGGCAGCTCTGCTCACCTCACAGCACATCCCCAGCTGTGCCCCAGGATGGGTCCCACTGCACATCCCTGTGACTCATCCTCTCATGCAGGGTTGCCCGTGTGCCAGGGCCCTCACTGCCAGGGCAGAGGAGCTGCCGAGGGCCGGTAGGAAGCCAGCACCCACTCCCCATGCAGCTTGTGGCCTGGTGGAGGCATGTCCCAGCCACATCTTCTCGCCCTCCTGCTGCTGCTGCTCTGCTGCCAGGTAAGGATGGGCTCCCAGAGACACTGCCCATGGCAGACTATGGCTATGCCACGCTGTACAGAAGACTCTGTCCAATCCTGCTGTCCACATGGCACGGTGTGGCACATCCATCTGTGCCTGCCCACGGCCATCCTTGAGCCTCAGGGCCATGGAATGCCTACCCCTGCCTGACCCTGGTGATGTCTCTGGTGCCTTCAGGGCCCCTCTGCCCAGATCACGAATTTCCTCTTCGAAAGCTGGAAGGCTTACAGCGAGGAGTGCCACCGCAACATGAGCCGAATGCCTGCACCTACAGGTGAGAGTGGGCACCTCACACACACCCCTGGTGTCCTGGCAGGACAGGGACCTCCTGAGGGTGGGCATGGGGTGCTGTGGGGAAGGTGACCGCGTGGTCTCCAGAGCTGACACTCCCCGTGGGCTGAGTCAGAGCACATCGCCATTCTGCCACCCCACAGAGCTGGTTTGTAACCGAACCTTTGACAAGTTCTCCTGCTGGCCCGACGCACTGCCCAACACCACCATCAATGTCTCCTGCCCCTGGTTCCTGCCCTGGTACCAGAAAGGTAACGGCAGGGCACGTGGTGGGATGGCTGAGCACGGCAGGGCTGTGTGGACATGCACACCTCTGTGCGGCTGCACGCTGCTGCGGCTGCTGCTCCGTGTCCCCTGGGCTGGCGTGCAGAGCCCAACTGTGTACCTGCAGCTGCCCCATTTCCCTCCTCCCCATGCAGTGAAGCACAGATATGTCTTCAAGACATGCGGGCCAGACGGGGAGTGGGTGACAGGCCCCAAGGGGCAGTCCCTGCGGAATGCCACACAGTGCCAGATCGACGCCGAGGACCTGGAGGCACAGGTGGGCAGCGGGCAGCAGATTTCCTGGCAGGCATAGTGCAGCCCCTGCCCAGTGCTGTTCTGCCTCATTCCTCACCTTCACCGCCTCCCTCACTCTCCAGGAAAAAATTGCCAAGACCTACGGCAGCTTCAAAGTGATGTACACTGTGGGCTACTCAGTGTCCCTGTGCGCGCTGCTTCTTGCCCTGGCCGTGCTGCTGGGCTTCAGGTGGGCACAGACAGAGGCTGCACCAGGGGGATTTGGGGGAATGCGCACTGACAGCAGCACCCTGCCTCCCCAGCAAGCTGCACTGCATGAGGAACTACATCCACATGAACCTCTTCGCCTCCTTCATCGTGAAGGGCGTCTCCGTGCTGGTCATCGATGCCCTGCTGAAGACTCACTACAGCGACAAGATCGATGACTACAATGTGCGCATCTGGCTGAGTGATGAGGTGAGTGGGGGGCAGGGGGTTGGGGGGGGACAGACCACGGCAGGCCCTGACCCCCACCTGCAGGCTGCCGCTGGCTGCCGGGCGGCTACGGTCTTCATGCAGTATGGCATCATGGCCAACTACTGCTGGCTGCTGGTGGAGGGCATCTACCTGCACAACCTGCTGGTGGTGGCTGTTTTCTCCGAGAGGAGCTACTTCACCCTCTACCTGTGCATCGGCTGGGGTGAGCACAGCCTGCATCCCATCCCCATCCCATTCCCAATCCCTGATCTCACACCATGCCTCACCTGTCCCACCTGTGCCTTCACTCCAGGAGCACCTGTGCTATTTCTCATCCCATGGGTCGTTGTGAAGTTTCTCTATGAAAACATCCAGTGAGTATCAGCCTGTGCCACGGGGTGTGTGGGGCACAGGGGGTACATGTGGGATATATTGTAGAGAAACCCAAGGGACAGCCCTGCAGAGGCCCCACTCTGCTGCCCGCATGCAAGGAGCGCAGTGCCAGGTGCTGTGCCAAGCTCCAGCAGCCACCCTGACACAGGGCTGCCCTGTGGTCCCCATCCCTCTCCTCTGCAGGTGCTGGAGCACCAACCACAACATGGGTTTCTGGTGGATCCTCCGCTTTCCTGTGTTCCTGGCCATCCTGGTGAGCCCTCAGCCCACGGCTTTGCCCACCACCTCCCCTGACTCTGCTATGGCTGGGGCCGTGGCCACTTCATGCTTACATGCCCTTCATGGACTCTCTGCCCCACCGCAGATCAACTTCTTCATCTTCATCCGCATCATCCAGATCCTCGTCTCCAAGCTCCGCGCACACCAGATGCGTTACACTGACTACAAATTCAGGTGGGCAGTGGGTGCAGCCCCAGCCCTGTGTGCCCACATGCAGGTGGTGTAGTGCCCATGGCCCTGCGCTATGGCTGCCCGCTCCGTGCAGGCTGGCCAAGTCCACGCTGACGCTGATCCCGTTGCTGGGCATCCACGAGGTCGTCTTCGCTTTCATCACGGATGAGCACGCCCAGGGCACGCTGCGCTACGTCAAGCTCTTCTTCGACCTCTTCCTCAGCTCCTTCCAGGTGAGCGCAGCAGGGCCGGGATGGCCACAGGGACATGGTGCTGGGAGGGATGGCCTGGGGCCGAGTCTAGCCGCTGCCTCTCATGCCTCTCCTGTCTCTACCCAGGGGATGCTGGTGGCCATTCTCTACTGCTTCGTCAACAAGGAGGTGAGCTGCTGGGCTGGGAGGGCTGGGAGCGGGCGCGGGATCGAGGGGCTGTGCTGATGGCGGCCATCCGCAGGTGCAGGCGGAGCTGCTGAAGCGGTGGCAGCGCTGGAAGCTGGGGAAGGACCTGGCGGAGGAGTACAAGCACACCTACAGCCACGCACCCGGTGCCCGCAACGGTGCTGGAGGCTGTGAGAAGCACCAGCTGGTGGGCGGCTGTGCCAACGGGACGGGCCGCGGCACGGCCGTGCGCTCCGGCTCCCACTACCTCGAGAGCAGCGGTGCTGCCGAGCAGCTCGCCATGGGGGAGCGGCACCACTGCTACGAGTTCCCTGAGACCACAGCCGAGAGCCACTTCTGAGCCCATGGCTGCACCTGAAGGGCTGCGGCGGACTGAGCCGTGGGGCGGCCGCTGCCCTCACCCTGGGCACTGTGGTGCAAAATGGCCCACGGACAGGGCTGGAGAAGGTGGGGAGGGGAACAGGGGTTGGGGTCTGTGGGGGCTGGGAATTTTGGGGGGGTGGGGTTCATCCTGTGGTGCTGCCCTTGTGCGCCCGCGAGACCCTCTGCACAGTGGTGTAATTTATGTCGTAACTGTGTAAATAGATGTGGGCCCGTGCCGGGCTGCAGGGCCAGCTCTGTGTGCCTGTCTGTGGGGAATGGCCGTCCTTGGGGAGGGGGAGTGGTGACACTACCACCCCACAGGGTCCCCAGTTGTCTGTGGGTGATGGGCACATAACCCCAAGCTGGGGATGGGGCCACATAGCAGGGAACCCCTGCACTGCTCTGCTGCCCTTATGGCCTTGCACAGGTGAGCAGGGCAGAGGCGAGGGGGGGAGGGGGCTGCAGCTCTCCTCCAGCCACTAATGAGCTCTATCAGCATTGCCAGGAACCCTTAATTAAATCATTTGGAGCTGCCCCTTCAGCCGTGCTCTCCTGAGGACGGGCAGTGGCTGCTGCTGGTGCTGAGCACTGTGGGGTCCCTGTCACCCTCAGGTTGGGTGGGCTGTCCCAAGGTCCCATGGGTCAGGCTGGGGGGGAGGTGGGGTGAGCTGGCACCCTAAGAGGCTTGTGCAGTGCACATGAGTGCTAAGCCCGGATGCCACGGCTTTAGGAACCACAATGGCTTTGTGTGGGGATTAGCACACTGCCCTGTGCCCCGGGTGCACCCAGATGGACAGACAGCTCGAGACAGCCCCATGCCCCCACAGGCCCCGGGCACACCGTCAGGACCCACACACAGCCCAGCACAAACCATGCCCACCTGCTTTCCAGGTGCTACATGACATGAGAGCAGCACCGTGCCCTGGCAGTGCCCCACTGCCACATCCCCCACTGCCCCAGCACCGGCCCCAGCCTGCCTACACCCACCAGGCTGAGGGGCTGCAGCGAGGGCAGCAGCATCAGTGGAGCCAGCGAGACGTGGGGAGGGCACTCCGCACTGATCCCAGCTGCATGGTGTTGGCCGAGCACACAGTAATTTTCCTCTGTTTACGTGACAACTTGCTGGCTGCCCAGCCGAGCTCTGCTCTGCTCACCCACCATGGGGCCAGCCCTGCGCCAGCAGCTGGGACCATGGGGCCGAGGGCCAGGGCTGCGATGGTGAGGGCGGCTCAGCCCACGGAACCACGGCACTGAGACAGCAGTGCCACGGCACGGGGTGAGCTGAGATAGGGAATGGCAGGAATGGGGCTGGAGATAGGGACACGGATGGGGATGTGGATGGGGACAGATCTAGGGCTGCAGCGCCAGCCGCCACTTGTCCCCACGGCACTGCCGTCACCGCAGCCTCCTGATGCGGTAACGAGCCTAATTGGAGCAAATTGCTGAAGCACGAGGCGGTTTCTGGGAAGGTAAATATGGTCAATGCACGGCGCCGGCCCCAATGCCTGTTGCTCCAGTGTATCCATGGCAACACACCACTGTCCGTCCCAGTCCCCCCCCCCGCCTACCCCCTGCAGAGCCATGACACCCCACCGGGGCCAAGGTGGGGGCACGGGGTCAGTCAGCAGCCTTGGGGTCTGGCAGCACAGCACCCCAACAACACCAGCACTGTGCACCCCCCCACTCTTGAAGACACGCTTGTGTCCCATACACAACCACATCTGCATATACACACACGCGCTTGTGCCGCTCACACCCACGCACAGGGCTGACATTTGCGGGCAGAGCAGCACAGCTATTTCAGGTTCCCATGGCAGCAGCTGGATGGGGACATTCAGTGCCCAGCGCCCACCACGTGCTGCTCGCCCACCTGCGGCCACCCCCTCTCACAGTGATGTCCCCACGCCCATCCCCATTCCCCTGGCATTGAGAAGGGAGGAGAGCTCTGTGCCACACAGCAGGAACGAGGAGCAGAGCCGTGCAAAGGGGACGCATTGGGAATGGTACCTGACAGGTCATGGCAGGCACCCCCCCAGCGCCCACGAGGCCTCGTTCGCCCCGCAGTGATACTGCTGCTTCATCAAGGTAATTGGAGACTGCAAATTGGTCTGCTAAGTAGATTCTGCCCGTTACCATTCTCTCTTCCCACTACTTAATTCAATGATACAACACATACCTCTCCTCCTCCCACCACTTAATCTAATGATAACAGCCGTAGCCGAGTCACGGTGAAAATAAGCCATGGCCAGCTCTGACTTTGATAGGTAAACAGCCTGATTTCCCTGGCCTCCGGCCTCAGCCCCGCACGGGGCACCCCCCCGCCACCTGAACCTCACACCTCCCTTCTGCTGCTTCACCACGGTCACCCTGTGGTTTGTTATTGGCCTTTAGAAAAATTGCCCGTTTAGAAAATCATTTTCATATGACATTTCATTAGAGCCTGAGTGAGCAGTTTGCCTCCAGCATCACAGCACCTGAGCCAAGAGAAAAACAAGGCAAGAGGCCATGAGGGCCAGGCTGCTGGGCCCCAAACAGAGCTCTGCCACAGCAGCATGGTGGTGGGACGCAGCTGATCAGGGTTCCTACAGCCTCCTGCCCCATCCTCAGAACCCAAAGCCCTGCTCCCTGCTGGGACCTGGCTGCTCGGCTGCCATGCTGCAGGACACAGACACAGCCTTGTGTGTATCATGCATTTCCCCTGGGAAATGTTGGACACGCTGCTGCTGGCAAGCAGCCATGAGAAGCTGCAGGGAATGGACCACCTGGAGGGAAAGGCCAGCGGAGACGAGCTGCAGTGGCAGCAGCAGTCATTTCATTCACTGCTGCTCCCGACAGAGGGCACCTCCTGCAGCGCAGCACTGCCCAGGCACCATCCTGTGGTGGAGCACCCCTGTGCTCCACAGCAGTGTTTTGGAGATGAGAGGCAAACAGGGTCACGGCGCAGCACAGAGGTGCACTTGAGGAGAAATTCTAGCAATGCTAAGTATAGTTTAAATGCCATAAATGCAGGAGAGGGAAAAGGATACGAGTGTATTAATAGTCTGAACATTTCAATCTTTGGTCCAGCAACAGCTCCCAGGATGCTGGCTCGCAGGAGGGCTGCCAGAGCCCAAGGGCATTGTGCTACCAGCACACGGTGCCAGGCTGTACATGCCTGCAGTGAAATTAAGAGCCCAGAGCAAGTGCAAGGGCAAGATCCCTTCTGGAAAATGAATAAATCAATAATCGAGGTGGCTTCTGCTCCTTGCGATCCTTGTCCTTAGGGCTTGGCCAGGCCTGAAGAGGTACAGAAAACTCTGATGGTTATTGTCAGCACTGAAGTCTAAAATAAGAAACACAGCATTTAAGCAACAAAACAGGACAAGTTTGGAAACCTAAAAAAAGAGAAGAGTAAGGGCACTACTCCAGAAAGGCTGCAGACAGATACAGAGCAGAGCAACGCGCACACACAGCTCGAAGGCAGAGGGGGCGGATGAGGGCACAGCAGAGCGTGGCCCTGTCAGCTGGGACCAATGCCCACGGTGTGGCTGAGACCTCTCGTGGGCACTGGGGACCCACACAGTCAGGCAGGCACCAGGCCACAGCCCTGTGGTGAGCAGCACACAGCGACATCAGGCAGAGGTGGCCCTGGAGCTGATGCTTGTGATGTGCAACGGAGGAGCAGGCAGAGCCACACAGAGGCAGACTCAAAAGAACACCAGCTTTTATTTACAACACTCCTCAAGTGACAGACAACAGAAAAAAAGAAAGAAAAAAAAAAAAAGGACAGTATAGCTCAATGACACAACGAAGGAAAGTTAACAGCAACCACAACTCCCCTGCACTCTGAATCCACCACGTGCTGGGCAGAACCCTTACAGCTCCCTCCCTGCCAGCTCTGAGCACAGGCAGGGGGCTGCTCCCACAGCTCCCCATGCCCCCAGAGGCACTGAGAAGCCCACAGCTGCTCTGCCCACATGGGCATGAGGGCACAGTCACTCTCCCTGCACAGAAATGATTAGACAGGAGCAAAGGTCCTGAGAAAGCCAGGCTCCAGGGCAAGTCAGATTGGACCACCACAGCCTGCACACAATGCTACTGCAAGCTGTGGACACCAGGTCTCTTCAAAGGGTACATGTTTGGGAAGTGGTGTCAGTGCTCAAACAGCAAGGAGTTGCTCAGGCAAGGATGCAAATGATCTTTTTTATCCTAAGTCAGTGCTAGCCACTCCCTCACCGCCACCTTCTTGGCTGAGGGTGGGAAGTGGCTCAGCACAACTCAGCGCTCATGCTCAGAGCATCTCCAAAATGTTTGGGGCTGCAGCCTCTCTCTCCCTCCCCTTCACAGGGAAAGAGGAGCAGCTCCACTACCAGCACTACAAGGATATGGCCCAATCTAAGCACAAGGAAAATCTGGCATCGGATGTAAACCCAAGAGCTTTGGCAACACTGACGAGTTCTGGGCATTAGCAGACTAGGTACAACCAGGGAGCAAAGAATAGGCAAAGAGTGCCAAAGTGGCAGCAGTCAGCTGCCTGATGGTGCTGAACTGCCCGGTGCTGGACTGGGGCTGCCAGTGTGTCCCTCAGCACCAGACCAGCACCAGGTTTCCTTCCTTCTCCCCTTGGTCCACTCCAGCACCCATGAGCTCTCAGTGCACAGAAGGGAGCAGAGAGCTGGCACTGCCTCTACCGACAGCACGGATGCTCTGCCCTACCGTGCACCAGAACCCAGGAAGCCTGAAGCTCAGCACACCAGGAACAGAGATGGAAGAAGAACAAGTGACTGGCGGTGCAGCACGGAGGCCTGAGGAAGCTGTGGGTCAGGGGCTGCAACGTTTTACACAGGGCTCTGTCTAGCTTCAGGGAGCCCTTAAGCATCGTGGAATTCAGGTAGCTCCAAAGCCAGCCCCAGAGCTGACTGGCTCTCCCACGGGCGGAGTACAGTAACCAGAGGAGGAAATAACACAAAATCTCAACTTAAATCTGCTTGAGGACTTTAAAGACCGGCCGACGAGCGGAGGACCTGCCTTACGACTTCTTTGCATCTTGTGTGTTCCTCCGCTTCAGGTCGCTCAGATCGACGGGTTTAAACGCTGCGGAGAACAGAGCACAGCCTTTGGCGGCAGAGGCCGCACCGCAACTCCCCGCCCCGGGGCCGACCCGGCGCCTCCGGCCGCGGCGTGGGGAGGGCGCGGCCGCTCACCTTTCAGGCTGGGGTTCGGCATCTTCTCCACGTACTCCTCGACCAGGCCGCGCTCGGAGCCCATCTGGCTGCGCAGGTCTCGCTCCACGCACTGCCAGGCTGCGGGAACACGGCCGGGCGGCTCGCGCGGGGCTCGGCGGCGGCCGCGGCCCCAAACCCCGCCCCCAACCCCGCCGCTCACCCTCGTAGATGAAGCGCACGTTCTCCTCGTGGGCCGGCGTGAAGATCTCGCTGCCGGCGCCGGGGGAACGCGGGCCGCCGCTCCGTTTGCCGTTGTAAACGACGCGAGACACGGGGGAGCTGAAAGCGAAGCGCGGGGCTGAGCGGGGCCCGGGGCCGCGGCTGGGCCCGGGGCCGGGGCGGGGCTCACCTGGCCATGGCGCGGTGCGTGCGGCGGCGCGGCTCGGCTCGGCGCGGCTGCGGGGAGAAAGGAGAGGGCGGCCAGGCCGGGGCTAGGCCGCGGGCCGCCCTGAGCCCGTCGCCATGGCAACGCGCGCCCCTCACCTGGGCCCGACTCCCGCCTCCGCTCGCCCTCGGGCCGCCACGGAAGCGCCGCGGCGCGCATGCGCGGCTCCGCCCCCCGCGGTCCCGCCCCTACGTCACGTGGTCCCGCGCCCCGCCCCTCCGCAGCGGCTGCGCGCGCCGTGTCCGAAAGCTTTATTGGAAAAGTACAAAGCGCGCCCCGGGGCGCCCCGCCGCCCCGCCCGGACCCAGCCCGAGCCCCGCGCAGCCCCGCTGCCCGGCCGTGACGCCCGTCCCCCTCAGTCCATCGTGGCGGCCTGGAAAAGCTCCACCAGGTCCTTGTATTCGGGGTCGATGAGGTCCGACGGCTTCTCCCCGTCGTCCGTGGTCGCCTCCAGGCTGGCCCCCAGCGACAGGAGGTACCTGCGACAGGCGGCGACAGCGTGAGCCCCGAACCGGGCGGCGCTCCGAGCCCAGCCCGGCCCCCGCGGCTGCCCCACCTGGCGATGTCGGCGTGGCCGTCGCTGCAGGCCATGTGCAGGGGCGTCCAGCCGTTCTCGTCCCTCTGGTGGATGTCGGCGCCGTACTTCACCAGCAGCTTGACGCAGTCCAGGTTCCCCGTGAGCACCGCTTGGTGCAGGGCGGCCATGCCTGCGAGGAAGGGACGGGTTGGCACGGCCCGGGAAGGAGCGGTGCCGTAAACCCTCAGTGCTGGGGAGGTGGGTTTGGGAAAGGACGCAAAGCCCGAGGAACTGAGAGCGGCTGCCGCAGGTTTCTGTTTTTACGGCATATGTTACCCTATTGGGGAGGTGCAGCACGTGTCTCCCCTCCGTTTCCACAGTTCTCCCCTGTATCTGAGGCTCTGTTGAGCCCCTGCCCACGGCCTGGCCCCCGTCTCCTCCAGGACACCCGCAGGCACCAGTCCTGCGCTGCCCAACCTTCAGAAGTTCCTTCCAGAGCGAGGCATGAGGCAATCAGCATACGTGGGGGGAAGCGTGGGTCATTTGAGACCTTGCCACTGTGGCCATGTGACAGCAGATGCCGAAGCCAAGCACACGAAAGAGACAAATTCTGGGCTCTGCACCAGCCTGTATTGGTTCAAGGCGTTCCATAAACAGTTTTCAGCGAGGCTGGGCACAAACATAACACAATGCCTTCTCCATAAACATTAATTCCACTAGGCCACAGATCCGTGCGTGTGAGAGAGAGCAGTGTTTGTGAGCCACGGCTGGAGCCAGGAATGAAACAGAACCTTGCTTCTCCTCTCTCCTTCCCCAGAACCAGGATAGAAGAGGCGAGGGTCCCACTGCCCGGCCCTGAGCTCCACATTCCCACCCACACTCTTTGTTACTATCTGCATTCCTGCTCCTTCTCTGGATCACCCCACCCTGCCTTGTTTCCCCCTTCCTACAGCACATGGTGACTGTGCTGCTGAGGGGAGGTGCTGGGGCAGTGATGCAGGGCTCTCTCAGGCCCTACTGGCAATGGTCGGGGGCAGAACTCCTCACGAGGGAAAGAAAACAATTTGATTTCAACCACCACACTGCCATGGGCAGCCCGGAGCCGAGCTGTGTCCCAACGAGCCGTGACACTGCGCAGCTCACAGCACTCACCAGAGGGGTAGATGGTGTCCAGAGTCACTTTCCTGGCACGTATGAACCTGCCCACCTGCTCCAGGTCCCCCTGCCTGATGTGGTCCTGAAAGACGACGTCGTTGGGGAAGTGCACCGTCCGTGAAGCTCTCAGTCTCTGGCGATACCGACTGTACCGGTGCATTGAGACTGGGAAATAGTCCTTCATGCTGCCCGCAGCCCCGGGATGCTGTGCAGGAATGTGGAGGCTGCACGACAGCCGTGTGGGCAGCACTCAGCCCGTGCTGCCCTCAGAGCACCACTTTCTTCCTCTCCTTCTCAGGCCCTTCTCTGCTGGGAGGTGTGATGGAGCCCGGCCCCGCTGGGCCTGCTGTCAGCAGCCTGCTGAGCCTGCAGGAGGTGGCAACGGCCAGTCTGGACCCAGGACTGACGGTTTTCTGGGGGCATGGTGTTATATAGGCTCTAGGGGCTATTTTGGGGACGTGGAGCTCATGCTGCTTACTCTGATACTTGGTAATCGAGCTGCCCAGGCCGGAGCCTCCCACTTTTGGGCAGAGGTTGATGTCTCGTCTTACCGCCCACCTGTTGATGTGCCCATCCAAGGGGTCAAACCTGCTGCTCAGCATGGACGGCCCTCCACAGGAGCTCAGAACTTCCAGCAGCAAGTCCTCGCATACACACCAGCATGCCAGGGATAGGACACAAATGCAATCACCGAGCGAGGGGAGCCAGCTGCTTGTGTACGATGGTGCCAAGTACACTCAGAACTAAGTCACTTTCCTGTAGTTGCATCAGCTGACCTGCAAGGGAGCAGTATGAGCTGTGCTTCCCAGCACGATCGCAGCGTGGAGCACAGCCAGGCCAGGAGAAGACCAGCAGCACACGGATGCCACGAGTGACCTTCCGAGGACTGAAGTGCTGCTGGTGTTCCTGGTGATGCAAACAAGCTGCATGGCGACTGTGGTCCTGCTTCAAACCTGCAAGCAGCTGTTATGCGACAGCAGGCTTCTACTGAACAGCTTCAGAACAACAGTACCACTGCCACACAGCTGCTATGGCCATTAAAGGCCTGAAACAGGTCATTGACTGTGAGATAAATCTTTCAGATCAGCCAAGGGCTCCAACAACTGCTCCTCCATCCTTGTTATCATCACGCTTTGGTGATTTTGAGCATTTTGTGCTGCTTTTGATGTGGCCTGCCCAGACAATACAGCCATGGAACATGTCAGGAAGAATTCCTATCCCACTTCAAGAGTCACAGAACATTCGTTCTGCACTGTTGCAGCTTAACCTTCTACCAAGCTCCTGTCAGGTCAGCCCATCTCACACCTGGAAGTGCCTGCTGCAGCTGTCATCTTCCGGCCAAGACGCTGATCTCTGCTCAGCAGTGCTTTGCACCACACAACAGGAGGCCCAGCCATCTGCTGCAGAGACAGAAGGCTCTCAGCCTGCAGTAGTGAGCTGTATACACAAGACGACTCCAGCTCTGCCAAGAGCAGCCTGAGTGCATGAGAAAGCCCCCCTCCCCTGAGCAGATCTGTAAGCAATCCAGCCCCACTTCAGAGCTCAGCCTTGTTTACACTTTTACTGGCTCCCCAAAATTGACCTTTCTGAGCTGATTCCTAGCCAGGAACATTCCCACAGAACTTCCAAGGGTCTTCTTTCGCCCCTCTTCCAAATGTAAAACAGCTTGTTTATTCAGAGCCACTATTAACATGTAGCATTGCTTATCAGCAGGCCCAGCATTGCTGCTCTGGAGCTTGGTGCATAACAAGCCAGCACCAAGCAGTGGTTGGAGCCCAGCACTGTCCCACTCCCGTGTACCAAAGTTAAGTTAAGCAACTGGCCCCAGCACCCTCCTGAGGTGCCCTCTAGGTTTGCTGTGACATTTTTAGCAAATTTCCCCACAAAAATATTTTCAGCAGTAAGTGACTGGTGTGGAAATAGCAATGTGGCTCACTAGATCATGTGAGCCTGACGACTAGCAGAGCTTCAGGCAGCCCCAGGTTTCCCTGTAGGCAAATTCCTTGGTTAACTGCTCAAGAGCAAAGAGGTCCCATCATCTCAAGCCAGCTGGCAGCCAGAGCAGCTTACTCTCAGAGCTCCAGCCAATGCATGCTGACTGCTAATAGAGCAGCTAGTCGTCTGCCTGCATAAACTCATTTACTGAGCACAATATGTGTATCTCTGTTTGCAAGTATAATGGAATTGCTTCAGGCTGTTCAAGGCATCTAGTGCCACCTGCAGAATTGGATGTGGCCAGGAAGTGTAACCTTCCAAAAAAGTTTATGGTTCTTTCAATACCATTTAGGTAGAATCACTCAAGAACCACTCTGAAAGTTTAATCCTGTCAGATCAAGTCCAAATATTCATTATGGGTTCCAGAAAATATTTAGAGACATAATAGTATTAAAATCTCAACTTTATTTGGCCGACAAATTCAGTTCCAATGTTATTATAAGCGGAATGCTAAGAACTAGGCCTGATGCAGGTCAGGCCCTTGAGGCACTCCCTTGTTCAAGTTCCTCCCCCAAACCCAGTAATTGCAAATTTCACGTTTCATGTATTTTTATCAGGCCCTCCCATACCACCCACCTTTCTGGTCAACCCATTCAAAATAATGTATGGAAAGTGACTGCAAAATGGTCTTGCATTTGATCAAAAGGATGGCAGCACATCCAAGCTGATGAGCCAGCAATCACTTCCATCCTCAGAGCCTGCCACAGCCAGTGCACAGTATTTCACCCTTCCACATTTTGAAGTCATCTTTAAGTGTCTTAAAGCAGAAGGGAAAGGAAATGAAATGTCTAGCGAGCATGAAGAGAAGCACCTTCACATCCACCTTTCACCAGGACTGATGCAGTCAGCCTATTGCCTCTTCCCCTACATACTTTGATTCCAGGGAAGAACAGCTGAGACAAATAAGAACCATGACAGGTGGAGAAATCTACAGGCTTTTCAAAGAAAAAAAAAAAGAAAAAACATTCTTGGAAGGTATTAGTGGCAATGCTCCAGAATGTTGGGCAATTAATTTCATGCTACCACTTCACAACTTTCTTCTACCCAAGAGAACAGAATACTTGAAACAAAACTGTGTACAAAAAAAGTACATCACAATAAAAAAAATAACAAACCCAGCTGGCTGGGCTGGCTACCCTAGTGATAGATCCCTTCTCAAAAGTGAAAAGAAAGAAAAAGATAGAGAAGCATAAAGACAAGTGAGGGTGAAGCGTTATTTTAAGAGCCAATCCCTGGATTTCCAGTCATTCACCTTCTGCTTTAAATCTTAATGGGTTTCTGACTCATTGGGCTGCGTAACAGCAACCAATTTAGTGTCTGATTTTTGGGTGATGTAGATCAGTCATCTCTTTACAATTCATCCTTTTGGATTTTTTGCTCATCATCATCACCTTCCTCAAGGTCTGTTTCTTCATCTGTCTCCAGATCTTCCAGATCCTGTACAGCATACAAAAGATAACTTTGTTTCTGGCCTATCGAGGCACATTCAAAACCAAATACAGTGAAATTAGAGAACCTGTTCTGTTGCTGCCATCTCAACAAGGCATCCTCAAACTTCCCAAATTTGGAACTCTTTACAGAGATCACAGCTTAGAGACCTCTGAAAGCTGGTTACTGCATTTGTAACACCCTCTGCCCAGACAGCTGAGGAGCTAACCAAATATACAGCATGCATGATGCTCACTGCAGCACTCAGGACCCAGCCACTCAGCAAGCTTCTTTAAGACCCAAGTACTCCAGCAGTCTGCACACCAGTTATACAGACTGCTTTTTCAAGTTTGAAGCTTTTAGTATCAGTTTACATGCATTTGTACTTAAGCATCCCAGAAAGGTTTCTGCATTTTAAACACCCAACTCCAGCATTTTCAATAAAAGCAGTTCATTACAGGCCAGCAGCTAGCCAGGCTTCAAGTGAACAGACTAGTCATTCTGTGAGACACTTTGGCTCACCAGCAATGCTTTCCTGTACATAATCCATGCTCTGTGTTCTAGAGAATAATGTATTAATTTTTATTACTCACATCATCAGCTGCTGCTCCATCCTGGCCTCCACTCTCCAAGAATTTCTTGAAGCCTTCTAGTGTCCTCTCTCCATTATAGTCAATTACCTACACAGGAAGACACATCAAAATAATTGTTACGGGCACCCACAGAACCACATCCCTGGAGAGGAGAATTCTCTTTCTGAGCAACAGTTAACATGCCAAGCAAAAGGGAATTTAAAAATTCACCTTCACCCAAATGAGACGAAGGAAAACAGCTCAGCCACTAGACTTCAGAGATCACTGCGAGGAGAGAATAGCCTGCAGATGAGCACACTGTCCTCTGCTATACTTCCTCTTTTTCCCAGTTCCCACTTCCCATCCCCACCGTTTCCTGTAACCCACCCTCCCACAGAGAGTCTCGCATGTTCTGTAGACTTGATGTGTTCCATCTCTACAGAAGGGAAAGCCCTCCCACAAGCTTTTGCCCAGAAATGAACTCAAGCAGACAACTAAGCATTTCCAGAGCTCCCTCGTTATTCCATCAGTAGAGAGGTCAGCTGCCTTCTTACGTTTCTGCCAGAGCCTGCAGGGAAGAACTTGAGCGTGGGGAAGCTGTGAATTTTCACTGCCTCTACTTCATTGGCTGTTGAATCCATCTTGGCAATGACAATGTTCTCATGGTCCCTGTAGGTCTCTCCCAGCTTGTCCCAGATAGGAGCCAGCTGCTTACAGTGACCACACCAGGGGGCATCTGTTAATTAACAAAGATACTGCTAGCACCAACAGTCTAATGAGTTAACATCACTTAAACCCCGTGCCACACATCCAAGTTCACACATGTATTTTCAACTGATGCCTCTGTGGTTTGGATTCTGTACGATGCTTCCTCCTCAACCCTAGTCATGGAGGATTTTACAACTCCTTTCATACCATTTACTTGAAAACAGATATTGAATACTACTTACAGAACTCCACAAAGACATTCTTATTCTCATCAAAAGCAACTTCCTCAAAATTCTTCCCAACAAGAACTTTGACAGGCTGCTTGTCCCAGTCTTCAGGGAGATCCTGACTCATCAGGTGAGGCTGGAGTAAGAAATAAAATTTGGAGATTCAGTCTGCTGTACAGCTATTGGAATACATATATATCACAGACAGGAAAACCTGAGAATCCCAAAGTGCCTCAGACTAATTAAAATCAGATGAATCTTTCTCTTCTGGTTATAGGAATTTCACTCCCCACCCTTAATAAGTGGGAAAACAGGTGCTTATGCATGGGAAGAACTGCAGATTAGCTCTGACAGAAGAATACTGTTACCAGTGTTATTCTCACAGGACTGAGGTCTGCTGGCAGAAGGAACAGCCAGATAAAAAGCCCCACCCCCCTAAGAAGCAGGAAGAGCAGACACCAGCTGTACTAGGTACCATATGTAACTGCTTTACTACAGTCTCCATGGTCCAGTTGTTTTACCCTTTGTTTCTTGGTATAAAGCCTGCCAGATAGTCTATATGTTAGATGGAAAGATTTTCTCTATACAGCTCTTCACAGGTAGCATTTTTTAGTGCCTGCTTGGCCAGTAGGTTTAGCACCAGTAGCATTCATCTTTGTTACCTTGATCTTGCCCTCCAGGAACTTGTTACAGAATTCCTTGATCTTGTCAGCTGTGAGGTCATCCGATTCAGGTTTGTATTTGGTCATTTCTTCTTCTAGTGTTATCAAGCGTACAGCTGGACATTCTTCTTTCTTTAGGCCAAAGAACTCCAGAATCCTTTGATTATCACTGTGGTCACTGTCTATGAAGATGAACAGGATCTTCGGAGGGGAAAAAAAGAGGCAAAGTGGTAAAGACCTTTTGACTAATTATGCTTCTCACTCATGTACGTTCATCACTCATGCACACACTTATCAATACACTCACACACGCAGTATTTAAGTTGGCCTCTTCCTTCTGAAAGCCTGTGACAGGGCTTCCCATGACAGAATGCATGCTAGAGCTTCAACGCTTCAAGCAGCTTGCATGCAGACTTGGCATCATTGTTTGTTATGGCAAGTGGTGCCTCAAGTCACCTTCCACGTTTAAGTGGATACAGGCAGACAGTTGTGCAGGAGGCAGTCAGTTCATAGTCCAAGAAATCCATCTTACCTTCCCTTTGAAGTTTCCAGCTGCGCTCTTGAAGTTGTCCAATTTCCCTTCATAATCAGACACACTTTTTGGTAAGAACAGCAGAATGTGAGTCTTGATCTCTCCTCCAAAGATTTTAGGAGCGGTCTGGGGAATAAAACACTAAACTGAAAACAGAGCTTGGCCTTACCATTCTCACTAGGTCACAAGTCAAGTACTACAGGACAGCTTTGAACAGCAAGCTTACACCTCCCTTTCCTGCATTCTTCCATCACTCAGCTCCAGCACAAGCAGTTACATCACTCCTTAAACTAGCATCAGCTCCAGGATAAAACAGGCACACAATCCATACTTTTAATGTCACAATGTGTTTATGGGTTATGGAAAGCTTTCACATCCAAATACGCACCTGCTCAGTAAACTCTATGACAAGAGGCAACTGATTAGACTTGATGAAGTTCAGCAAGTTATCTTTCGTAAGATCCCCTTCAAAGTTGTTACGTCCTTCATCAAACTGAAACACAGATATTCTTACATTAGAACACTTCTATATTCTGTACGTCCTCTTTCAAGAAATGAGCACACATCAGAATTGCTACCTCAGTGATCTCAGCTGCACTGAGCACATTTCTGTCTCTCAGTGTCACCACACTCACAGTGTCTGGACCAACATACTCTTCCTCCCAGCACACAAAGTCCCAGAATCACCCCCAAGTAAGCAGCAACAAGACATTCAACCTTTATCTTCACACTGTTCTACACAGCCATGAAACAATTTGTGAAATAGGTCACTGAGAACTTTTAATAGCTGCCTTACAACATTGCTGAAGGCATTAGGCAGACCAGTGAGGAGCTACCAGAGCTGGGACAGCATTCTGCTTAGGAGTTAGCAGAGTATACATTAACCAATTAACAGACAGTGCTATGAGAAGTCTGACAGCAAAACCCACTTGCTGTGGAATTAAATAGCAGTTTACTCAGCTCTGCAAGGGTGGTTCAGTCCCTATTGTTAGAGACAACACCACATGTTTAACACATGCATTGCACTACAGGTGCCAAATTCTTTTTTATATTAGGATAACACCTGCATGCCTGACCAGGATTCTCAGAACTTGCTCTGGCAGCCTGGAAAGGGAACAGCTTTAGAAGAGCATCAAGGTTAAAAAGGATGTGCAGGACAGCACAAAGCAGCTCT